TGTACTATCTCTTTGACTAATAAAGGGTGCTCTCATTTTCATTGATTGTTGTGGCATAAGTGAATGCAAAAGTCAGGGGTTAAGGAACCAAAGTAGTAGGGACAGAGACTGTGGAACTGGAAAGCTTCTCTTGGCTGTAATGACCCGAGCGCTCTCTAAATTCAGCAAGTAGCAGGATAGGGCCGCCCTCCTGACCCTTGGGTTTGTCAGAGTTCCCCACAGACTTTTGTCCAGTAGTGGCTCAGATTCCTGCAGCCTTAAGACCTGGATTCTTGCTTTTGTAGAAGCAGACTGGTGGTTGGGAGGCAGATGGGGGGCGGGGGTGTGGGTGGGGAATATTGGTGGAGAGAAATGACACTGGTGAAGGGATTGGTGTTGAAATAGTGTATGCCTGAAACCCAATCACAGATAACTTTGTTAATTTCACTGTGACTAAATACAATAATAAAAAAATAATTTTTAAAAAGATCTGGACCCGGGGCTGGAGCAACAGCACAGCGGGTAGGGCGTTTGCCTTGCATGAGGCCAATCTGGGTTTGATTCCTGGCATCCCATATGGTTCCCCCGAGCACCACCAGGAGTAATTCCCAAGTGCAGAGCCAGGAGTAACCACTGAGCATCGCCGGGTGTGACCCAAAAACCAAAAAAAAAAAAAAAAAATCTGAGCCCTTTTCACACGTGAAGCCCTAGGTTGAATCCCCAATGCCACACACACCACACACGCACACCACACACACACACACACACACACACACACACACAAGACCTGAGTCTTAAAGGAACTTCTTGGGAGAGTGACCAGATCTTTAGATCTTTGATCCACATCTGTAGGAGAAAATAATAAAAAAAATAAACAAAACAATTGAGAACTCACTATGACAGCTGTGATACTATAAGAGCAGGCTGGGATCAAAGGAAAGAGCATTTGCTGTTGGAACCCACTAGGACAAAGCAATTGTCCCAGAGATTAAAAAAAAATGGATCCACTTGGTGCATGTTTTATTTCAACTTTTGATGTGTTCGATTGCCTGCCTCTGACCCAAAGTGCATAACAGAAGGAGCCTTGCCATCTCAGCTCGAATAGCATCTAGTCTCATGTCATCTCTGCATAGAGACTTCAAGGCCTTTGAACTCTCTTGTAAGGTCTATATCTCTGAGCATTATTACTGTTCCTTAGTACTTAGCACTATGCTTTGCACATAACACATAGAAGTCGTTTTATTTGTTTACTTACTTTATTTTATTTAGGGATGAGTTGGTCCACAACCAGTGGTCCTCAAGGGCTATTTCTGGCTCTGTGCTCAGGAGTGACCGTAGCATTGTTTGGGGGACCATGGAGGTGCTGGGGATAAAACAAGGGTTGACCACTTGCAAGGCAAGCACCTTACCTCCTATATTATCTCTTTGACTCTTGTAAGTTTGGGGGGAGTAAATTAATGACAATTATGTTAATAAGGAAGAAGGTAGGTTTACTTGTGAGCTAAAAGATGCTTTATAGCCAGAGAGATCAACGAACTGAATGCATGCTTTGTGTGCAGAAGGTCCAGGTTCAATCCTGAGCACTGCATGGTCCCCCTCCATATCCTAGGAGCAACTAAGTATCCTGGGAATAACTTCCAAGCAGTCCATCATCAATAGCCCTAAATAACCCCACTGTGTATGTCCTAACCCCACTAATGTTCTGTAGGGAAAAAGATCTTCACTAGTAGCATAGAGCCTCCCAAAGTCTTGACTTCTTTTATTGGAGGAAACAGAGAGTGATCTTCAGATAAGATCTTTGTCCTCCCATGATGCCAATGGTAGAAGCTATCAGTGATAGAGAAGGGGAAAAGACAGCTGGTGGGGTATGATACCCGCTATGGAGAGTTCTGGGTTCTCTTATGCCTGCCTTCTCCCTCCTCCAGCTGGGCCAAGTTTAGTGTCTTGCCAGAAACTTATCAGAAAGAACCATGACTCTCTGGCTTTAGTAGATCCAATTCTTTAACTATGTCATCTCTACTGCTCTTTTTTCATTGTCCAGGACCTTAATTCTTGGCATCTTGGTTTTGAAACAAACTCAAACTCTGTGTCTTTGGGACAACACAGATTATTTCTCATGAAGGGAAGAAACTCTCTGTCTCGTAATATGCCATTTTATTCGTAGAACAATTCTGTGACATTGATAGAACAAGGATGATTCTGGCATCAAGAGAGAAAGTTACTTTCCCAAAGGGTTTCAAGATTCCTCATTCCAGGGCTTTTACCTCTAAGATACACTTTATGGCTCTACCACTAAAAATCACTCATGGGGCCAGAGACAGAGGACAACAGGTTTGCCTTGCATGTGACCACCAAGGTTTAATCACTGGTACCTCTGAGAACTGCCAGGAGTGATTCCTTAGCACCAAGTGTGGATTAGGACTTGAATACAACCCGGTGTGGCCCACAAACAAACAAAACTTTCTCATCATCTCCTAAGGCTGCCTGAGGATTTACACATGGTCGGGTCCCTAACAGTATGGATTGTCAGACAAGAAAACTGCAAGAGATCAATTACTTTACCCTTTGCCTTTCAGGCAGCCAAATGATCTCTAAGTTGAGTATTAGTTGGGAAAGTACTTGTATCTGGATATAAGGTTTGCCACATACATTCTTGGGTAAGTCATTTAATCTCTGTGACTCAGTTTTCTGTAAACTAGGGACAATAATATCTGCATTTTCTACTTCACATGCCTATTGTAAAATTAAATGAGATGATGTATGTGAAAGCTATAAATGAGTTAATTATAACATCTCAGTCAAATTTACATTTTTGCAGGTCCACAAATATTAAGTATAAATGATAATACCTTACATTTTTGAGAAAGTTCCCCAGAAATAGAGCTTTGTTCTGAAGTCAGGCTTCCTGAGCAAACTTGACCATGCTACTTCCCAAAGCTTCAATGAAAAAAAAAATGTGAAGAAAATAATACCTATCTAATGGATGCAGTTATAAGCAAAATATGAGATAATGCATGCATAATGTTAAGCATGAGCCTGGCATATAAAAGAACTCAATGAATGTTAGCTATTACCATTGCTATTTTAATGAAGATGCAAAGCAGGGTGATCCAATAAAAGCTGATAGAGATTTGAACTAGGAAACAAAAGGGAGAATTGTTGGGTCTGTTTGCCTTCTCCCTAGAAAAAGAGATTGGAGAGACAGTCAGATGTGCTTGCCTTGCATGGCTAGACCCCAGTTTGCGTTCCAAAAGCCAAATACAGTTTTTAAAAGTTCAAATGTCAGATCTTGAAATCAACCCTTTAAATCTGTAAGAGTACAGTCTTTGTCAAATAAAAACAAATGACAACCACACAGGGGGAAAAAATCCTCTTTCTTCATATTGCCTCAATTCACTCTCTTTAGTCTGATTTTTTTGGGGGGAAGGCACACACCCAGTGGTACTCAGGACTTAACTCCTGGCTCTGCACTCAGAAATTACTCCTAGTGGTGCTCGAATGACCATGTGGGGTGCCTGGGATTGAACCTGGATCGGCCACATGCAAGGGCAGTGCCCCTACCTGATGTGCTATTTCTCTCTAGCCCCTCAGTGTCCAATGTTTAATCCCCCAATGACCTCTATTTGCTTTGTAGCACACTCCCCGATTACCTCCTTCTTTTCTCTGATTAGTTAGTATGACTTCAGGGAATAACTTAATTTTATCATTAAACTGGGCAAAAACAGAAATAGAAATAGAAATCTTGGCAAGATCAAAAATAGAACTCATAGCTAAATATAAATCTGGAGGGATTTATCCAATTATTTTGGCTGTCCCTTATCACAGACTATTCAGGGATGATTACTTTTTGTCTTTTCTATATAAAGAACAAAATGGTCAACAAATACCAAGGGTGATAATTTTTTTCTTCTGAAGAGCAGTACTTTTCAACAGTAATTTAAATGTTGTTGTCTTTTCCATCTCTCTCTCTCTCTCTCTCTCTCTCTCTCTCTCTCTCTCTCTCTCTTCTCTCTCTCTCTGTATGTGTGTATGTGCGCACATGCATGCTTTTCCCCTCCACAACTACATACATTCTCCTTGGGGACCATTCAGTTTTATTCTGACTTGTAGGTCAGAGAGCATTGAACTGGGAAGAGCAGGATTACTAACGGAGTTTACTGTGCAAACTTGTGCAAGTTTCTCAGTCACTTTGTTCCTTCCACTTTGCTGAGTTAAGAGTTGAAATGGACGATTCTAAAGGGGAATCCCCTGCTTCTTTTCTGTCTCAGTTTAATTTACAGGCTAGCAGATGTTTCTTTTTCTTTTCTTTTTTTTCTTTTAGGTTGGATCAGCACCAAGTAGGGACTTGGGAACGTGGAAAAAGACAAATGTGGGTGTCACATGAGGCATGGTAGCCATTAAATACACGAATATGATGCAAATAACATGCAAATATATGCAAATTTACGTTCATTTGTAGATTCTCAGTTTGGATCTTGAAAGAAGCACTGCTGTTTTGAGATTCAAAGTTAATGTTTCTAGGCTAAGCCAAAAATAATGATTTTTTTTTTAAAGTTATCTCTTGTCAGGGCCCAATGCTGTAAGTTTGACACTCCACCCAATCACCACCCCCCACCAAAGATTTCACTAGAGCTGATTCCAACCCACACCCGGCCCCGCCCCCGTGCAGCCCGAAGTCACTTGACACCGTATTTGCATACTACCTGGGCCTGGGTGTGACGCTCCCCTTTTCTGCGTCTTCTTATTGGCTGTGCCCTCTTCCAGCCCTCTTCCGGACAGACCAATCATGGAGCCCCCGGAGGTAGGCAAGCAGGCGGGGGCGGAGTGTGGGTGGGGCCTTGGGGCGGATCGCTAAGCTTGCTGGCCAACCATCCTCGGAAACGGGCAGAGCTGTCCCGGGATTGGTTGGAAGGAGGGGCCTGGGGATCCGTGGGCGAATTAGAGTTCTGGGCTGAGGGGGCAGGTCTCCGCCCCGTAGGGCAGATAAGCAGCGGCAGCGGGGGTTGGGGGGCTGTGCGGGGCTCGCGGTGGGGCCGAGGCTGGGAGCCGGGCGGGCGATGGCGGGGGTTGCAGCGGGCGGCAGAGGCGGAGGTGCCTGGGGGCCGGGGCGTGGAGGGGCCGGGGGGCTCCGGCGGGGCTGCTCACCCCCAGCCCCCGCCGGCTCCCCTCGGGCTGGGCTGCAGCCGCTCAGGGCCACGGTCCCCTTCCAGCTGCAGCAGCCGCACCAGCGCCGGGACGGGGGTGGCCGCGCAGGTGAGCCGGGCCTGGAGCGGGTGCCGGGGGGGAGGAGCCGTTGGGGGAGGGGGTCGCGTGACGCGGGGGAGGGGTCCGGGGAGAAGTTTTGGGGGAAGTGGACGGGGCCGAGGAAGGGAAAGGAGGTGCGTGGAAGGGCCGAGCGGGGGAGCGAGGAGCCGTGAACGTGCGGGTACAGCGCCGGGCTCCGGCGTGCGGGAAGCTGGGGCCGGGAGGTGCGGGGACGGACCCGGCAGATGGAGGCTGGCTTCGGGGGCGTACCCGAAAAGTGGGCAAAGGTGTCGTCGGGCGCGCGCGCGCGTGTGTGCATGCGTGCGTGTGGGGGGTGAATGGAAGAGTCAGGGGTGGCCGCGAGGCGCGAGGGAGGCGTGAGCAGCGCGTGATGGGGCGCCCCGTGCAGGGCCGGGGCTGGGGCTGGAGCGTGGAGCCGGGGGGCGCCGCGCGTCGGCACGGGGAGGGGGAGGGGCATGGAGGCGATCCCCGCCGAGCCATGTGTTCCTTCTCCAGCCCGAGTTTGGCCCCGGCATCCCACTCGAGCGTGGCGGGGCTTTCCTTCGCCTCCACGCTGCGTGCCTTCCTCTCCGTGCCCGCCTCACGGAAGCTGCTTCCTCTGGAGCCGTTGGAAGAAGTTTGGTTTAACGGCTTTTCACCGCCGCCCAAACTCCCCGCTCCCGGTTCCCGTACATTCCTCTTGGGGTTGCCCAGGAGTTGCATGTTCCCAGATCGTTGACCTGCTTAATATGGCTGTCTCATTGCAGCCATCGCGAGTGTGTGTGTGTGTGTGTGTGTGTGTGTGTGTGTGTGTGAGAGAGAGAGAGAGAGAGTGTGTGTGTGTTACCTGGTCAGTTTACCCCTGCCTCCCCCCCTCCCCCCACGCAGGCTGATTTCTCCTGGGCATTGCCAGCCAACGTGGCAGTAGGGTGAGGGTTACAATCAAGTACTCTGTGGCAAATGCCCCCACGTTCCGAACGGCTGTGAAACGTGTCTGACTGGCAGCTCGGTAGGGTGGGTGTTGGGGAGGAGACGGGCAGGAGCACGCTTAGCCTTGTTGCCTTCACACTCCGAGGAGCCGGGGCCGTGGAACCCCCGAATGCAGTGAGGAATGGGGACGTGAATGAGGAGGTTGGCAGTAAATAAGTTGAAATAAATAAGTTGAGGCTTGCATTTGATTTGTACCAGATGTGAAAAAGATCGTTGCACATTTCCAAAGCCTCCAAGTCTACCAAATGTACCAAAGTCACGGTCCCTGCCGTCTTAATGACATTCTGGAAGTCGGAGTTTTCTGGAGTTTTTCCTGGGATTACTAAGCTTAATTACTGCACATCCCCCTTGTGAAAGTGGAGCTTGTCCCAGTGCCTTCCTTGGTAGGAATAGCTTTGAGAGGGTCTCTGAAGTTGGAAGACCCAGAGCGATCTGGGCCTCATTGTCAATATGAGCTTTGCCTCATGGAAGGCAGAAACTTGGTCGAATCTGGTAGCAAGATGGTGACCAGCTAGCAAAAGTATGCCTAGAATCTGGCTGTGGAGAGTAAGGCAATGCCCAGACAAACTTATGCCTTTCAAGAGCAGTAAAGCAAACCACAAGACTACAAACCTGTTGGTTTTGTTTGTGCTTCCTTGGAATCCAGGGAAGTTAGTAGGAGAGCAAGCACCAGGAGGAACCTGAGTAAGTTTTAGCAAAACTCAACAGCCGGCCTTTGTAGTAGCGGGAAATCTGCTAGTCATATTGTCAGAACAGTTCGCTCATGTCGACTATAGATAGAACTAATATTTAAGGAACAAACTCTGGCAGATGCTGTGGAAAGGAGTGAAGTGAAGGCTTGGAGAACTGGATTCTTGCATGGACTATTCCTTCTATGGGGCCAGGGCCCCAAGGCCCTGGCAGGAAGCTAGGGGGTAGGGCTCAGAATCATTTAGGGCAAATTGGGTGATATCTTGCTTAGGGATTGGTCTGATGGATGACTACTTATTAGTATCCCAGAGACATTCATAAGGCTCTTGCTGTGTAGAGGAGGATTATCTACAGATTCTCAGGGTAGCTGTCGAGAGGGAAAAATCCCCCTTGTGAAAGTGGAGCCTGTGAGCTGTTTCGCGGCCAGACCTCAGGGGAATGTTCCCGGCTTTTGGGTTGGGAGCACAATGGGTCTTCTGCGTGTTAGCTTGAAAATGTGTGTGTGTTCAGGTTACTACCATTCCTTGGCTCATCGTCCTTGTGAAAGTGGCAGAGGTGGTTTCCTCTAGGCCAGTAAGGTACATGGGATAGAAGGAAATGCCTTGCAGTTATAAACCTCTAGAAGAATGATATTGGTGCTAAAATGCCTGGGCTTCCAGTTGAGGTTCTGCCATTTACTGTGTGACTTAGTAGAAGTTTCTTCTATGTCTCAGTTTCTTCACCCGTACAATAGGAATAATAATTTGTATATCATAAAAATCTAACGAATTACCTAGATATAAAGTGCTTGAAACTGTGCCTGGTACCCAGAAGGTGCTACAGAAATCTTTGCTGTCTTTTATATTGTTATACTCTCCACACAGCCAAGGTAAGAGCACTGTTGGCCAGAGCCCATTACTTTTTCAGGCTTCAAAGAGCCAGAAACCTATATTGGTCTGAAACCAGTACTGCAAGTTTCAGGATTTCAGGGCCTGCCTTACACAATGACCTGTTTATTTTTTAGAGTTTTAAGCTATTTTAAAGTTATTTGAGGGGCTGGAAAGATAGCACAATGGGTAGGGCATTTGCCTTGCACGCGGCTGACCCGGGTTCAATTCCCAGCATCCCATATGGTCCCCTGAGCACCACTAGGAGTAACTCCTGAGTGCAAAGCCAGGAGTAACCCCTGTGCATCGCTGGGTGTGACCCAAAAACAAAACAAAACAAAAAAGTTATTTGACTTGGAATTTTATTTTGGGAGGATTAACCCACCCCCACCCCAGGCAATTGGCTCAGGGAGCCCCAGGCCCACTCCTGGTGATATTTGGCAAACAGGACCAGATGGTTAAATGTTTGAGCTTGGCACTGAGATGCTGCTTGGTCCCAGAGGTGCTGGGGGTCTTTCCCCTAATGTTGGAAACCTCCAAGAGCTACCCCTCCCCTGTGCTGGGGGGCAGGGAGACAGTGGTATGCTCCAGCAAATTGCTTTGAGCCATCTCTTCCACCAATCTGAGTTTTTTGAGTAGGGCTGGGAACCCAGCTGTTTAGAAAGGCGTGTGAACCAGGCCTAGGTTTCAAGAACATTCGGGGTCATCACTGTGTTTCCCATCACAGGCGGTGTGTAGTGCTTGGGACTGTGTGGTTATCTCCCCACACATACCCTGTTGTGTTCTTGACAAGATATATTAGGCCTTCGGTTGTCGAGAGAGGGATTTACCTTCTGTAGTCATTTAGCCTTATGAGATAGCTTCATAAGGAGAGCTATGACTTCATTTTCTTTCTTTTTTTTTTTTTTTTTTTTTTTGCTTTTTGGGTCACACCCGGCAATGCACAGGAGTTACTCCTGGTTCATGCACTCAGGAATTACTCCTGGCGGTGCTCGGGGGACCATATGGGATGCTGGGAATCGAACCTAGGTTGACTGCGTGCAAGACAAACGCCCTACCCGCTGTGCTATTGCTCCAGCCCCACTATGACTTCATTTTCATGAGCTTGGCCTAGAGGTGTGAATGACACACGGGAGTGAGGAGAAAAATGAAGATTAAGTCTAAGAAACCTGAGAACCCCAGGTGGATAATAGAAACCCAGGACAGTTTTTTTCCTCCAGTTCACCCCTAAATTAAGTTTTCTCTCTCTTTCTAGTTCTAAGTTTTGGGGCCACACTCAGCAACACTTAGGGTATAGTTCTGGCTCTACGTTCAGGTATCACTCCTGGTGGGCTTGGGCAACTATATGGGGTGCCAGGGATCCATTGCAGGTCAGTGCAAGGCAAGCACCTTAACCATTGTACTCTCTGTCCCTCATTCATGTCTTTTGTCCAGTTGGTGTGGGCCACAGTGGCAATGTCTAGTCCCAAGCCTAAGCTATTTCTGGGGTGACTGCAGAAAAAGTTTGCCTATAGAAAAATTTTGCCTACCCATATGTGATATGTTTTTTTTTTGCTTTTTGGGTCATACCTGGCGATGCACAGGGGTTACTCCTGGCTTTGCACTCAGGAATTACTCCTGGCGGTGCTCGGGGGACCATATGGGATGCTGAAAACCGAACCCAGGTTGGCTGCGTGCGAGGCAAATGCCCTACCTGCTGTACTATCGTTCCAGCCGCCCATATGTGATACTCTTAACCATTTATTCCTAGATAAAGGTCTATTTTGGGGTGAAAAAGATAGCACAGCAGGTAAGGCACTGCATATGGTCCCCCAGCACTACTAGGAATGATCCCTGAGCACAGTTGTGTGTGGCCCAATAGACCCCCCTCCAAAAAAAAAATTCATTTGCATGTGTGTAACATATACCTTCTCTGTCGTAAGGGGGCAAAAGCAACTACTTTACATCACAATCAATTTAGGAAAAAATAAACGGGGCTTGGGCTGGATCCTCAGTCTCGGTGGAACATGAGCACGTGTGAATCCAGCTGCCATCCCCACCACTCTCAGGTGATATGCTCAGGAGTCATAACTAATTTGGATTTACATAAAAGCATGACTGCTAGGCAAATTGGCACCTGCCCCACTCCTCCCCCAGCAGTGCAGGGAACTCCTTTCCTAATCAGATGAAAACGACGGTAGGCTTATTCCTGGTTTGACTTTCCTCGTAGCCTTTCATTTCCCTGAACAGATCCCCGAGAGCCGGCAATGGCCACGACTGCCCAGAGTCGTGACTGCTTCCCCACAGGGGCAGAGGAAGGGCTTATTTCAGATGGCAGTGAGGTCCTCCAGGATGGCCTTTTCAGTGAGTATAAGGCAGCATTGTTAGCAGCAGTGCTATTGGTAATTATTAAACACTTCTCTTCATCATGCTTTGCAGATTTAACTCATGGGGGTTGGGTGTTTAGGTCGGTATGGTACCACA